GCTTACTTGTTCATAGGCCTATGACTAGTTGTTGACTAGTTATATTGTCTCCAAGATTATTTGATTATTGTTGTTAACAATCTGTTTGAGTAAGCTTTAAATTTACCCCTTTCACCTAAGTAACAATTTCAATTGGTATCTGTTTAGGGGTGGTAGAAATCCACCTAACTTGGGCAATTTCTGAAAGCATGAAAATTGGCCGGGCAGACAAGGAGATGCGGCCGGGCTTCTCAATTGCGGAATTGGGCAGCCGTTGAACTTTGGGGGCCGTAGCAATCCGGGTTGCACAAACTTGCAGCCGGATGGAGCTAGGAAAAATGGGCACGAGAAGAATTGTGGCCGGGGTTCGTTGGGCAAGCCGGGCTTGCAAAATTGCGGGGCACGGCCAGAAAAGGCCGGGCCTTACGAGATGTAGCCGGGCAGTTCGATAGTGGCTGGAGTGTACGGCTGGAATGGCTAAAGCTCACGGTCGGGGCTGTTGGAGATCTCGGCCGGGTTTTTGGCGGCCAGGATTGTTGGATATCTCGGCCGGGTGTTGAGTGGTTTTTGCGACTGGATCTTTTGGGCTGAAGTCCCGTAGTTTTGGTGGTTGAAACTTGGAAGTGTTGGAGCTTTGGAGAGTTGCGGCTGCATTTGAAATACCACAGATTGGGCTGGAGGTCTCTAGGCTTAAAACTGATTATATATATATATGGAATGAATATGGCTGGAAGCTAAAAGGGGTTTGGGCTATTGGAACTTGGCGGCCGAGATGTTGGAATGTGAAGGGTCAAACTTTGGGTTTGTTTGCGGCCGGATTTTTGGGAGCTAGACCTGATTATATAATATATCTATATAGGCACATATGAATAGATGAATGTGCATAAGTGGCGGCTGAAACTCTAAAGCCCTCCTTATCCCATTTTATACCTACATATATATATATATATATATTGTAATATTCTATCATATATATATATATATATATATATATGGAATAATATGAAAATTCAATATATATTATATGGGCGGCAATATTAGAGAAATCGGAGGCCCAAGTTTAAGCCACCAATCCAAGCCCAGATTTTCGGAGGATTATATGCACGTGACAAAGGCTTTGCAAGGAAAGAAATCAAGGAATGTGATAGCAACTCCGAGTGTTCCAAATGGAGGAAGAATCAAGCATGTCAGAATATTTCAATCAATACAATCCCACGGATTTAGGAGGGCTTTGAAAGGAAAGATTTTTTAAGAAGAGTTGACATTTGGCCATTCAATGGCCAGCCCATGGGCTGACGAGCGCCCTATATAAACCTTGTTTGACGAAGACAGAAGACACACAACATCAGACAAACAAACCTATCTTTCGTCTCGCACTTTTCTTTTCCTAGACTTAGGATTTTATTTTCAAGCACCTAGTGTAGCGAGTTCTTCCTTTTCCTAGTGTAAGTTTCAATTCTTGTTCAATTTATATTTTCGTGTCATTTAGACTCAAGTTTATTTCCATTGCTTTGCTTTTCATTGTTATCGCACTTCAATTAAGTTCAATTTCAAGTCTATTTTATTTTATCGCTTTTATTTTCATTATCGCTTTTATTTTCATTCTTGCTTTATTTATCGCTTTGATTTACTTTATCGCACTTCAATTCTTGTCTTTACGTTTATACGCACATTTATCTTAATTGCATTATTTTTACTTAAAACCCTAAAAATCATAAAAACATCCGTACGAAACCTAACCATCCTCGAGCCCGAGGAAGTGAAAGAACCTAGGCCAAGAGGAGGTTCCTTGCTTGGCCGATCAATCGTTTGATCAGAAGTTAGAAGCGCAACACATCCATATACTCACATTCAATTCAAGCCCAAATTCGGGGCTTGGTGGTGGCACGCCCCGCATCCAAAAGAAGAAGGACCAAAAGTTCCTTCAATCGGCCTACCCGGCCGAAAAGAGGTAAACAGTATCAGAGCGTCAACTCTTAATGCAAATAGAGAGGTCCTAGGGCGCTAGTTGGTGTTTAGGTGGTGCTACCATGGAAAGGGAAAAAGTTGGAGGCTCTAGCAACTCTCCTCCATACTCCTCAGCTAGGCATATAGTAGGCATACTCAAATTCAGAACTTTCTTTTGCTTGCACGCAGCAAAATAATCACAATCACAACCGAGGACGATAGGAATTATATATGGGGGAAGTAAGAAACTATAATCGGAGCTCCCGATGACGATGATAATTTCGATTTGCTTTTCTTGAATTCCTTTAAAGAAGGAGCTTTTGCACTGCCTCCTGCATCATCTAAGACCTGTTAAATGAGGTCGAAAAAGGCA